GTGTTGCTGTGTCATCTTGAATTGTGCACAGGTCTTGCATTTGTACCTGAGTGTCTATTGAGAAAAATTTAAATTAAAACTTCCAAAACTGTGAAATTGATGTAAAAATCTGTCTGGATGCTATGGACCATTTACAGACCATTATAGCTTAATCCTAGGGGTATATCAGATCCAGGCCACACATGAATTACATACCAAGTAGTTCCTTGAACATTACAGAACTTCAAGAAAATTAAATAATAGCTTTTAGCAACTGCTGGGTTGACATTCACTTACAGATTTCTATATGACATTCAGTGCCGGCCCCTGTTTTTAGTAAGGTAATGACAAATTGGAGAGAGTTCAGAGAAAAGTAACCAAAGCAGGTTGGTTTGGAGGGACAGACTGACAAGAAAGATGGAAAGAAAGATTGAAAGAGTGATCTACATGTAGATCTTGACTAAAAGGTATCTGGGTGTAGCAAAATGAACATAATAAAAATCACTCACATTTGAACATTATAATTAAATGTCATAGAAGAATAACTAATTAGAGTTGCATGAAACCAGGAGACTTGAGGAATTTGAATGCAATTAGAGAGGGATAATAAAGCATAATATCATAAAAATGCTTTGACAACCACATTTTGTAGTAATGTAAGCCCCATTTCTTGGAAAAATTAAAAGCAGGCAGAGTATATTTTAAAGAAAACTAGAAGAAAGGAGGCAGCTAAACAGGTCTGTACCATCTACAATTAAATTTTTTGTTCTCTTCTTTTGGTGTTGTGTGATTTGTTCTGACAGCACAACAGTTTGTATACAATTAGTATGATTCCGAAAGTTTTGGTTCAGAAATTAAAATCTCCGCAATCAAACACCAGACCTAAGTTATTGCATCTCCCCGAGACACTTTAATGCCTATTAGTTGTCTCCCATTTTCTCAATTAAACAGTCTTTAAATATACTAGTTGAAGCATCTTTTTGTTCATTTGACTAGCAGACTAGATTACTCATTCCAGCTGATCTTTGTGAAAAGAAAATTAGAAGAAATGTGTTTACAGGGCAGCCTATTTAAATTCAATTTCCCTTCCTCCTTGCTGAAAGAAGGCGAGTTACTGCATTTCCCTCAGTCTTCAAGAAAGTTTTGAAGAACATCCAGCATTCGGAAAAGACTGTTTTGCCTTTGTATTTCTTTTGGAACAGGAACCAGAGTTCTTGTTATTGAAATCTGAACTAAAGACAAGACACTCTCCAAGATTAACTCTTAAAATCTAAGTAATTCTTAGGGTGGAATATCATTTGCTCTATTAAAAAGAATTCTTTGCTGCCACAAGATTAACAAGATCTGCAGTGTCTTGAAGAAGACTTTCACCTATGTTAAAAAATTACCTACAGCAGGTGATTCATAAGGAAGAAAATTAGAAGACATCATGCTCTTCCATGACTTTGCAGCTAGCAAGAAGAACAAGAAATATCAGCTTCCCAAAGCGCTACAGAAGCTTGATTAAAATTATTCATGATATAATAAGCTGTAGCTACTGATCTGATGGCAATTGTAATTACCCATGGTTTTTCCAGACAGGATGAATGCTACAGTCTGAAGCTCTCCTCATCTTCCTTCCCCTACATCCCCTTTTCGGGCCATAAAACTTTGGTGAAAGAGAAGATTCTAGAAAAGATTTATTCCCAGATCAAAGTCTTTTTTATGGGATGGGATAACCAATTTTAAGACAGGCCTGTGTCAAGTTTCTGCATAAGAAAGCACTCATGGCTGTAACTTGAATCTGGATCTGTACATATGTTCTAATTCCATGTGGATGTTTTTCTTTTATATAAACCAAGTTTTATTGTATTTCCCACTTCCTATATTCCCATGGTAAAAGGCTTTCAGACATAAATCAACAAGTTTGCTTTATGTAAAGAGGAAATAAATAAGATTCCTATGCGGCTCCATTCATTAGTACCTACTGCACCACCTGTTCTCTTTCATGCTGGTTTTAACAAGTGTTCTCAAATAATCCATTGCCTCATGGATTAACGCAACATTGAAAAGATTAAAAAATCCAACTAGATTGCAATCTCAAAGGTAGGCAATTTTGCCACCCTGCCTAAAGAGCTACAATTATTGACAGCCTTCATGGTGGAAAAGAGAAGAAATCTTAAATGAACAATATTTGGAAACTTGTAAACTGCTTTTTTGGACAAGTTGGCAAGGAGAGCAGTGAGCTTTTGTTTCTGACAAGTCATTATCCATCTGTATGGATAATATAGCCCCCAAACAAGCAAATCCATTGTTTTCCTGTTTAACCAGCAGGATATAAAAATAAAAATCTGACAAACATGTGCAAGAGAAACAAACAGAAATGACAGCACTGTGTGACAAAAGCCAGATTTCTGCAAGATCTTGCTTGTGAAAGCGCACATTATGTAAAGCACTGTTGATTAATTTGAGGGATGACAAGCAACATTCACGGAGATGGAAAGTTTTGCTCTTCTGACTCCCAGATGTGATATTTTAACGGGGAGAAGTAATTTTCTACTTTGCTGAGAGAACAGTTTTGATACAATAAAACATAATTTTCAAACTTCTCAATGTCCTAAGAGCAAGAGGTCATCAAAATTTTTCAAGAAGTGAGCACAGATACATGTAATTCATTCATTTAGAGATGACTGAACAGAGGCACATATTACTTCTACTTCCTATTTTCAAACTGCAGTTTTACAGTTTTATTTTACACACAAGCTAGTAAAAGAAGTACAACTGAAAGCTAGTATACAGCACGGAGTATAAAATTTAATGTAGTTCAAAGGACTACATTTTTAAGAGGTTTCTTGGCACCTAAGAATGCAAATAGGTCCCATGACAGATTTTGTTCGTTGCTACCTTATATTGATAGAATTAAGCCCTCTTGAAAATTCCTTAGAAATCCAGGTGCTCAGTAGCTATTTAAGCACCTGTTTTCACTGCATTCCGCATTTAAGAGGCCGATAGCCACCTCAATACCACAAAACTCAAACTTACCTTCCCAGGCTGAAAATGAGGTTTAAACAAAACAAGACATTTCTTTCCCTGTATCGGAACAAATACCAGTTGTTATATAGTCACTGCAATTTTTCCCTGTTTTCCAGCAGATATTTATTAATTTTTTACACAAAAACCTCACCATTGATAAAAGGTCACAAGCCAACTTTTTTGGTAATAAAAGCTGTATGAAACTCACCTGCTGTAAATGTAGCATCCCATATGATTGATTTCTTTGTCTAATTTATAACGCCGAAAATCCTCCCAAGCATCTTTAATGGCTGTAATGGCCATTATAACACAAATTGGGATCACAGAAACTTCTGGTTGGAAAGCATTCACCACTGGCACAAAATTCAGCAGTGCAATCACCACAAAATAAATATTGGCAAAGCGGTGAAACTGCTCATAGATATTTTTAGGGAGGAAAGTCAAGATAGTATATTTTGTGGTCTTAATTTTATTGGAGTCATAGTATCTGTTTGGATTTTCCTTCCACTTCTTACTTTCAAAGGGCAAATTGGAGATGATCACTCGTTTATTTTCATTTTTCTTCTTTCTTTTCTTTACTCTTCCTCTCTTCTCCAGCTCTTCGCTTTGGATTTCAGTGTCTGGAGCACCACACTGGCAGCAGGTTTCCTTGAAAAAATGTTTTTTCCATACCATTCTGGAGAAGCAGCCTGGAACACTTTTCCTTGACATCTTGTTTTCCTCTCAGAAAGTAGCCTCAAGTTGAAAACCAACAAAATTAGAAGAGTTCAATAATCCAAATAATCCCAAGGGGTGGAGATAAGAGTGAAGATGTCCAAAGCCCAGGGCTGCCTCTCCTCCGACTCCGGCCTCCACCTGCCTAGGGACAGGTATCATCCTGACTCAGCTGCACCAGATCCTAGAATCTGCCGAGGAGGCTGCACCTCACATATGACAAAAGCATCCCGAAAATTTTGTTATTCCTGTTAGCAGACGCCTGGAGGCTCCATTCAGAGCACTTCCCTGGCACAGCCAATCTGCTCGCATCAACTGTCTCTGTTTTAACCCAGAGCAGCGACAAAGCTAAGAACGTACACACAATTTTCACGGTTCACTCTATGAGTTTCTGAATCATTTTATAAGCCTGGGAGTCGCCAGGAAGTTCAAAGGTAATGGGCAGAGCTCTGCATCCGAGAAGTCAACACAAGATTGCTATAAGCCTCAACACAGACAGGATTTCTCTCCTTTACTTCCTCTAGCTACTATTTGTTTTCATGGCCATAACATGGAATAATAAACAAACAAAAAGCTTAAGAAGAGATGGAAAAAGGAAGAGGCCCAGACATTTAAACTTCTTTTAAATGAAAACTCCTATCTATTGCATTGTGCAGTGACAAGCTAAGCAGCCTCAAGCCAAGAAACTCTGATGAAATCGAAATGTTGCAATAAAAATTGCACATGAAAATATTTCTTCCTTCTGAGTCAGTACTGAGCAAACATTGCACATTGTGTTGTGCTATCTCCAGAGCGAAACTGTGCTGTATGGATCATTTGTGTTTACTGGAAGTCCTATAAATTTTTTTGCAGTTCCTGGTTATGCTTCACCTTGAATGTAGTTGATTATTAATTTTTGTATTTGTGGTTTTAGTGTGAAACGTCCAAAAGATATTGCTCCAATTTGTTAAGCAGCCCCAGTAATCCTTTCCAGACTTGGACAAGTTTCATTTTTCCTCCAGATCCTTCTGCTACCTGGAGAGGATGTTGTGTGTGTTGGCAAGCTGGTCTGAAAACTTGGAATGAAAACTTGTACATCAGCACATGCTGCTGAGACGTGAAACAAAACTTCAACGATATCAGGATGACTTAAGTGAGATAAATGAGGCATTTTTAAAGGCAGAAAAAACTCTTTTATAACAGCTTTTCCAAACTTGCTGTACTCCAAAGGGTCAGTGAGGGAATTACTGCAAAATCAGATGAGCAGTTTCCACTACATCAAATGTAAGGAAAAATAATTAGTATAGTTTACTTACTTGTCATATACCCTGGTTTTAGAAAAGTTTATCGTCTTATCAAATCGGTATTTTCTATAGTCTTCAATAGCATCCTTAATCATACTGGCAAGCAGCACCACAATCAGAGGCAGCATAGTAATCTCCCTGTGGAAGACTTCCACTTGTGGGAACCAGTTCACAACCACCAGAAAGAAGAAATAAAGATTACCCAGCCTGAAAAGGTATAAAATAAAAGTACTCAGAAATTAGAATGTGTCTGTTACTTAATGAACATCTCCCATTTTCTGTCAAAGGAACATTAATCATTTCACTCCTCTACAGTCCTCTTCTTTTCCCAGAACAAATCAGTTGCTTAACTGAGATGCTATTCTCTTCTTTAGAAGAGCCTGAGATACGTTTTAATAATACTACAGCTACTTCCATCTTCCACATATTACAAAGACTTTTTATTTCTAGGAGTGAAAACTTTAATGATCCCCCACTGCCTCAGTCTTGAAAATGAGCATAAAATCAAACAAAAGCCCCCCAAAAACTTAAAAAACTAAACCAGTGTAACAGAAAGGGTATAAAACCCCACATGTTCAGAATTATGGAAATGTCCCCATCATGGATTCATGAAAGATTCCACAGGTGGAAGGTCAAATTACAAATGTGTAAATCTAATATATGGAATTAAAATTTCAAAGCTAGAGATGGATATATAACTTTTCATTTGCCTTTATCATAATGGTATTTCCCTCAGCATCTTATTGACATGATTAATTACGCCGGGGGGGGTATACCTAATTTCAAACTAGCATTTGGAAAGAAACCTGACCTAGCACTTGCATATACACGTATAATGTTTGTAAGTCAGTAGACAAAGTCACTTACATGCCATTAAAAACATACCAAAAATAATTTATGAGCCTCTGAAATCTACAGAATTTCACAGGTGTCTCAACACATCCAATGAATGTCTTTTCATGTCCTTAAAAATTAGGGTTTTATTCAACACAGAAAGAGAGGATTTTAAAAAGAAAGGTGATATTTTAACGTAGAAAATTCTTCCAGTATTCAAATAAGAAAGCTGGCCACAGCATTGGTTAAGCACACCTAGTGTCTACTTGCTTTAAACCTCCATTTCAGTGTGAATTGAGTGACATTTGGTTACAAATAATCATCAGCAAATTTTAGTAATGTGGCAACTACAAAAGCAGCCCTTCTCCATCACCCTCAGATAACACTGTTGCAGAGAGAGCTCTTAAATCTCATGTATCATTGAATGAACATTTTTACCTGTGAAACTGCTCAAAAAGGTTTTGTGGCAAAAACGTGAACCACGTGTATTTTGTGGTCTTTATCCTGTTTCCAGAATAAAACGTAGAAGCTTGTTTCCAGTCTTTTGACTGCCTCCCATTGTTGGGAAACACAGTCCTCTGTTTGTTTAAGTCGAGTTTTGGTTTGTCTCCGACAGAAAACAGCAGTGGTGTCGATTCTGATAGAGTCTGGGAGGGACTTTCAGCTCCTCGTCGCTGCCAACGGTACAAAGCAGAGTCCACAGACAAAGCCATTCACAGCAGGGATGTCAGGCTGAAAGACAAATGCATGACAAGGACTGAAAACCAATTCCATTCTGGTAGAAAATTGACTTCATGTCTTGCTAGCAGAGGTTGAAAGCAGCAAACAATACTCCTGTTCAGTGCATTACACGTTCAGTCTTCGAGCTCAGAACTTTCTGCAGAGAATGCAGAGAATAACAGAAACAACAAAATCTTCAATATGGAAAAATCTATTTCTATCTCTGGGGAAAAAAACCAAAGCAAACCAAATCTATTTTCCGTGTGTTATAACAGCAAACAAACATAGATAAAGCCAATTTAACTGAGGTGAACAATGGCTTTTCTGTTGCAAATTCTTTATCATTTTGCTCATAAACTGTCATAAGCTGCCACCAAATTTATTCAGGCATTTCTCTTCGAATGTCTGACTTTCTTACGGTACTTTTTCTATTCACACTTACTTACAAAGGGACCGGTTCAGGTGTTGAATCTTAATAGGTCAGATAATAAAGAACTGCAGCATCAGCTTAATCTCATTTACACTCATGCAACAGTTTTCCAGAGTCTCCATAGAAATCTGATTTGAATGGAAGATGCCAGCCAGCACCAAAACTATGGATGTTTTATTGGTTGGAGAGATAAAGGAATTAAATCTCACAATACTAATCCTATTATCATTGAAAACTTGTCTTCTGACTTGTTCACACATCTGCAACCGCAATTGTGATCCAGCGGGCAGGATGCTCAGGCTCCAGCAGCACAGATTGCTGCTGTGCGCAATCTAAACACATAAAATCTCAATCCAACAGCAGGAGTTCTTTGGAAGCTGCCTTACAACGATGAGGCACTAAATGTGAAAAAGCACACAAAAAAAAGGCACTGGCCTTGTGCAACTTCAAGGTTCCACTAAACAAAACATGGGAACTGAGCCCACCTCACTTAGACTGTGGGAAATACAGAAAAGCCCCCCTGTATTTAAACTTGGGCAATGGTCATTTAGATTAACTCATTGAAAACATGGTTTAAACTTTATTTAACAGCAGCTGTTTTTGAAGCAGATTGAGAATATCTGTACATGTTTGTACAAGTCTAAACAAACACATTTTAAATACATTAAAACTTTGAAATTATTTATACTTTTATCATCAGTGAGTCCTTTGTTTCTCTCTGCTTTTCAGCTTCCTCTTCCAAAATGTCTACCTTTTACTGTATGCAATATGTGACTTGCTTTGGAGAAAAACTTAATCATATTTAAAAATACATACATGTTTGAGTCTTGGAAGGGGAAAAATACACTGTACTGAATTTCACTAGCACATCTGAAGTGTGTTGTTTCATCAGCGAACAAGTATTGTTTATGCACTATTACTCACTAGCTCAAAAAAATTTTAATTCCGAGTTTAGGTTGCTCAGCAGTGTGTGGCGATCCTCTACAATGTTGGGAATGGCTAATTTATGCCTATCAGAAACTTGGCTCGGCTGTTACAAACTTAAGTCATAATACCTACTGAATCTAGACTTAATGTCATGTTACTCTAGTAGGGAATGCTGAAGCTATGAATTGCCAGGAAGATGCAAGGGAAGGTAAGTGTCACAACAAGCAAGTGAACGAAGTTTTTAACAGAACTTGCTGGTACTTGTGCTGTGTTCCACAGACTGGAATTCCAACATTTAACCCTTGATTCTAGATGTCTTCATTGTGTTGGCGATAACTTTATTCACCTGTTGAAAGATAAGCCACTGCAAGGTAAAGCAGCTGCCATTGTGGATAATGGGTTCATACGTACTTAAAAAAAATAGTCAAGTATGTTTAATCCCTGAAGGTCATGTTCATGTAGGACCACGAGGACAGTCAGCAGCAAGGTAACTAACCAGACTGATCTCCAGAGGTTGCTGAGTGTCAATAAAAGCAGCATGTCTGCAGGATGCCCTACCACCGGTGAACCATAGGCAACACGTAGTAGGTCAGACATGGTCTGCATGGGAGAGGGACAGTGATTTGATGGTGTGCTGAACCTAAACCTGAGCAGCCGACTCTCCTTCACTCTGCTTTTGTGCTGTGTTCCTGGGTGGTCCTCGAGTACCCATGGGAGTGTTGTGCTGATAGCAGGAGAAGAAAATTAAGGCTTCATTTAGGACTAGTGAGAACCTTGGGACAAGACAGCAACAAGCAGCTGTCTCTTAGCATGATGTAGTGGCATTTAGTTTGTTCTGTGTTACTAGGTGTGAAGAGCTGAGAAAAAAATGACACCTAGACACAATAAGAAGTATGGAGTGCTGGTTCGGAGAACTGAAGGAAAGCTTTCTATAGCTTCCAAGCTGTAACAACCAACTTTTTTAGAAGACTTGGATCTCAGGAACCTTCATACAATACCAGATTTGAACAACTAACATGAGAAAGGATTGGAAGCACAGCAGATGATGACAGACTTCCTTGTGTCCAGATTTTAGCACACTTGGTGCTTGTTTACAGAAGAAAACGAATAATTTGAAGGTTACATTAACACACACAACCTAAAGCTCTGACTGGCTTCATGCCAAATGGAGTAAATTTGTAGTTTAATCCATAGACAGGACCTCCTGCAATCCATGTTAACTACTCTACCAATGACCAAATGAATGAGTACTTTGACTCAAATCAAAATGATATTAAACCTAAACTACCTTAGATCCAGCACTTCCTTACAGTATAATTTTTAATCTGTGGTGCTGAAGGATTTTACAATGAAAAGGCAACAATTCAATTGTTGGTAGTTACCAAAAAAGGCACAGCTGTCACTCAGTGAAAACGCTGTAGCGAAGGGATGCAGCACGTGTTTGCTAGTTGAAGGCTGGACGCTTTTGCCACCTTGTTCTGAGCACTCCAGTTGATTTCAGCTACATCATAAATTAAGATCTGAACAGTGGATGGAATGCTGGCAGTCTTCAGTGGCTCAGCTACACACTGTACAACATATGTACTACATATGTCTTTAACCACATCTTTTATACACACACACATATATATAAGTTGCACGTTACAGGACTACGTATATGAGTTACTGACAACGTACCAGAGCAATTCTTTTTGTATCTGAGATACATCAAGGTAGGCTGAACTTCTTTAGAAATTACAAATTGCAATAGTTTCAGACATATTACTAAAAATAAAAGCAGACAAGATTAATTAAGGCACCTTTACACATAAATAGGAGCATGTCTTCCACAACTTCCCCTGGGAAACTTTTTCTACAGCTTCACAAATCACAATTAGGCAAGTCTGCTTGACTTTGAAGACAGGGTCTCTCCCCACCCCATCTTTAACTATTTACTTAGTATATAAATCAATGAAATAATGACTTAGTTTTATTCAGTTTGGAAATCAACCCTCTCCTCATGGCTTTCTTTGAAAGGCAGTGGTCATGAACAGTGCCATATCCATGAAGAGAGAGGCCAGTTGGTGCCACCATGCAATTAAACGTGTCGCAGGAGATGTAGAGACTTCGTAAGATAAACCATGCAAAACTAAGCAACTGTTATATGGGGGGTAAATTATGTAGCTGGATGCATAATCCAAGCAACGAGCTAATGGCTTTCTTGAGACATGAATTTCAGTGCTGGTAGTGAAAAGACAGCAGAAGCAAACATAATACTTATTTTTTCAGATCAGTAAGAATAAAAAGGTGTCTAAGCTTGCCATCAATGTTAGAAGATAACCTAACAGAAAAGAAGAAAGAACTCAAAGATGCGTCCTTCTCTAAAAAGACAATTCAGCCAATTGCTTACAAGAATCTTCAAACTTATTGGCACTTTGATGTGTTATGCCAGTTACTTTCTGTATGGTAGGAAACCCATTAAAAATATTGCATTCCTCTGGCAATATATCTAACACATCTGTCACAACTCTTTCTAAAAGAGCTTCATAAAATCCCTCGTCATAGTTTAACCTGGCCTGTAGCTAAAACAACGACACAGCCATTCACTCACATCCCTCCCACCCTGAAACCAGGATACCTTTTTCTGTAATTCTAGAATATTTTACATGTAAACACCCATTTGATTTATGTTTTTACAGAGATATCATTAAAAGAACCCATGAAATGTGGATTTTTTCCACATACATTTACTGAAGTGACTGGTTTTCTTCCATCTAGCTAGTGAAGCTTCAGTACAGCAATACGTACCCTGAAAGGGAAAGGTCAAGGTGATGCAGGCATTTCCAACACCATTATGTCTGGGATTTGGTGTCTATTCCACGACAGCATAGAGGCTACAACAAGTGCTAATTCCAGGGCTGGCGCATTACAGCTGCTGCTGTTTTGCCTAACTGCCCTTTGTCAGCCACTTCAGAAAAGTTTGCCTTTGAAAGGAATCAGCAAGTTCCAGCGGTCTGCTTTATTTCTGACTAGGGTTTGGAGACTTCCCACAGGATGAGGTCAGAAACGCCAGAGAAGCACCGGCCATGGCTGCAGAGGGTTGCATTATGCTCAGTTACACCGTAACTGCTCAAGGCCAAAATGATGCGAAATACAAGGAAAACAGGTGGCTGTGCTTCAGCTCAGCACTTGTTGGGCTTGGAAACTAGGGGACAAAAGGACCCCTCTCTGTCCTTAAAACCACGAAACCTAGTAAGTGGGAGTCTTTCTTTCTATTCCGTTATTGATGGATGTACTATTGGCAGCTCTCAACAGGGCAGACACGTTTTTCCCATCTGTAACTCCCACAATGTTTTCCAGTGAGAAAACATTGGGCAATCTAGCTTAGGAAGAGTCCTCCCCCACCTTGTGTAGATGGCCCTCAAGATTCCCACAACCACAGACATGTATTCATTACATGAAATTATAAGGAATCGTTACCCATCCTATTCTTCTTTTTAGGAAAGGACTGTGTCTCTCTTCTCTGACCTTCCAGTGGAGCTACTATGGTCTCAAGAGACAGGCAAAAAACCTCAAACGTGTCTAGGTATCTCAGTGGCTGAACTTCTGCATTTGGAATAAACAAGACAAACAACATAGAAGTGATTAAACTATTAT